GTGACCTGGCCGACCTGCAGGGCGGCCTGTACTCCCAGTGGACGAAGTGGTCACGATGTTCCCGGCGCTGCAGGCAGAGACGCCAGAGGTCGTGTCGGGTACCTGCCGTGTGTGGCACAGCGCTCCTCAAGGTATGTGGTCGGGGTTGGTTTGAATGGGATATGCTGCTCGCAATAGAAGTTCCATTTGCCTTATTTTGCTTTTTTGCTTTACACATAGGCGTAAATGCAAACGTAAACACATGCGCAAAACAAAGGCACACGCGAGCGCGCAGAAACACCGTCCTCCATTCACCCCGACGCCCCTTATTCCAGGAGGAGAGGAGCTGCCGCGGCGGTAGGTGCTCGGGGCGCCGTCCCTTCCACATCATCAAGCCCGAGGAGTTCACGCGACAGCCTCCGCGAAATGACATGAGGGTCCTTCTCAACTTCAACTCTATGTTCTACACGAAGTGGTCCCGCTGGTCCGCCTGCAGCAGGTCGTGCCTGACCAGGAGATACAGGTCGGTGCTGGCGAGGAGGCAGAGGCCTGTGATTTCTTCATATATATATATATATATATATATATATATATATATATATATATATATATATATATATATATATATACTTATATTCTTATATACATATGTGTGTGTATATATGTATGCATGCGTGTGTATAAGTATATACAGGGTGCGAAAAATCCCACGTCCGCACGTCTTTGACAAGTGTAAACTTGTGGAGGACAAGTAAAATGTTTACCTCGCTTGTCCGCATGGACGAGTAAAAATTTCCAGTAGATTTTTCCCTAAAATTAATGAAATCTAGCAAGGTCTAGTACCTTTCAATATATATATATATATATATATATATATATATATATATATATATATATATATATATACTTATATTCTTATATACATATGTGTGTGTATATATGTATAAAGGCGTGTGTATAAGTATATACAGGGTGCGAAAAATCCCACGTCCGCACGTCTTTGACGAGTGTAAACTTATGGAGGACAAGTAAAATGTTTACCTCGCTTGTCCGCATGGACGAGTAAAAATTTCCAGTAGATTTTTCCCTAAAATTAATGAAATCTAGCAAGGTCTAGTACCTTTCAGTTCTATGATTATGGAGGCTGCCATATTTGTTTACCTCTCGTCTGAAATCTCGTCTCTGTGAGATCTCGCCGGTTTGTGTGAGATTTCTAGCAGACGTTTTTCAGTGAGTTACTGAAGCGCGTAAATGTAAACATGCCACCTGAAAAAAAACGTGGTTCAACACAAAGTAACATTTTGTTTTGTTTTTTGGGCCCAGTATTAAAAAAACAAAGACAGACAACACAAATGATAATGAAATTGAAGGTAAAACAGCAAATGATGACAGTACATGTACTGAAACTGAAACCGAAAGTAAAATGTCATCAACAAAACAGTTATTGACAGTTATTACAGTTTAAAAATGTTAAAAGAAAAATGACACAATTAATAGTTATTTATATTAGTTTCATATATCACAGTTGATAAATTTCTTTATAATATATATATATAAATATTTCGGACAAGTGGTATTCAGAAGAGGACGAGTGGAAAGTCAGGTGTACTTGTCCTCCTGGACAAGTGAAAAAAAAAAAAAAATTCGCAGCCTGATATATATATATATACTTGTATACTTATATACATATGTGTGTGTATCTATGTATACATGCATGTGTATAAGTATATATATATATATATATATATATATATATATATATATATATATATATATATATATATAAGTAGACCCATGGATAGTTCTTCCATGTGTGTATGCAGTATGTTATTATAAACAGCATATGTATGCATGAATCTACGGAAGCAAATATATATCTAGGGCGATATCTAGATACTTAGGGCCCAGGGGCTTGGTCCATGGAGGGGTTCCCTTATATTTGTTTGATTAAAAAAATAAACATTTATCTGCGTCTTTAAAACTGTGTAAAAAATATAGAAGATGATAGAAATGAATAAATTACTGTGTAAAAGGTTATAAAATTGAATAAATTACTGTATTGGTTATTGGTTCGTCCGATGGGGAACTCGTGAGTAGTTCGAAACGTAACGATTCAATTTCATTTCTTATCGTGACCTTTTCCTTTTTGTACAAAGCTTTATGTTCTTCCACCTCAAAAATAAACTCCTTTCCTCTCTCATGAATGTCCTTTCGCCAGATCCTGCAAATACCCTCTGTTCTGTGGCGGAAGCGTGGTTAACGAAGAAGCCTATTGTTACGTGGAAGGTTCCCTCTGTGAGAAGTGGTACCGCAGGAGCCGCTACCATCCTCGGAAACACCAGACGACCGAGAATAACGGTGAGGGGAAAAGAGATTGGCGAGATTTTTGTTCATTTTATTTAGTTAGTTATTTATTTAGTTCCTGTTTTTTTGTTGTTGTTTTTTTTAGTCTTGAGGGGATACTGAGGACGAAAAAATATGGGGGTAGAAGGATCTTTTCATAATGTAGCTAGTTTACTTATAGTTTACTTGCCTACGTTATTATCTGTTTATTATCTGTTATGTATTTACTCCTGTTATCACGTATTTACATTTGAGCTTCCCCATTCTCTCCTCCCACCCAGACGAGGACGGTGAAAACACCCTATCTACCTCGTCCTCGTCCCCCTCTTCGTCGACTTCTCGATACTCCCCCTCGAGGTCCACCTCCTCCTCTCCCTACTCCTCGTCCTCGTCCTCGGCGTCGTCTGCACTGAGCAGGTGGACCGAGGAGAGGACGCTACCCCGTGAGTGCGGCGTAAGTAACGTGACGACGCCGGGGTGGAACTTGAGGATCATCGGAGGACGAGAGGCTCAGAGGGGCAAGTGGCCGTGGCAGGTCGTGATCCTCAACCGATATCAGGTCAGGAGGTCGTCGCGTTTGTTGGTGGGGGAAGGAGGCTTTTATTTCGTTGCGTCTCTCACTGCTTCTGTGTCTCTGGCCGGCTGGCTCTGTCTCTCTCGCTCTCTCCCTGTTTCTCTCTCTCTCTCTGTTTCTCTCTCTCTCTCTGTTTCTCTCTCTCTCTCTGTCTCTCTCTCTCTCTCTGTTTCTCTCTCTCTTTGTCTCTCTCTCTCTGTGTTTCTCTCTCTCTCTCTCTTTCTTTCTTTCTTTCTTTCTTTCTTTCTTTCTCTCTTTCTTTCTCTTTCTCTTTCTCTTTCTCTCTCTCTTTCTCTCTCTCTTTCTCTTTCTCTCTCTCTTTCTCTCTCTCTCTTCTCTCTCTCTCTTCTCTCTCTCTCTTCTCTCTCTCTCTCTCTCTCTCTCTCTCTCTCTCTCTCTCTCTCTCTCTCTCTCTCTCTCTCTCTCTCTCTCTCTCTCTCTCTCTCTCTCTCTACATATACATATATAAATATTTTTTTTTCTTGTTTTTCTTCTTCTTCGTCTTCTTCTTCTTCTTCTTCATCGTTTTCTTCACAGTCGGGAAAAAGAACATTCATTTTTATAAATGATTTATGTTCTGTTTCGTTTTTGCTATTTGGAATGGAGGGTAAGAACCTTTATTTCAAGGAAGAAACTTTCCTCGAACGTATGATATAGTGATTTCAGATCAGTAATATCACTTTTATATATAAATGATACGGAACACAGTAACACTGAACGGAATATTTATATTGTAAGATAGTGATGTAATCATGTAATTGTAGCGGCAATAATGAAATTTAAAATATAAAATATAAAAATAACAATAACAACATCAATTGTAAATAAAGGACAAACAGTGACAAACAAATGATAATATAAATAGGAGACAAACAAATGAACAGAAACACTCAAAATTAGAAACAGGATTTGAACCACTAGTGAAATCCAACCACATTCAACCACACTCACGCCCCCCCCCCCCTTTTTACCCAAAATACAGGAAGCCTTCTGCGGGGGGACGCTGGTCGGGTCGCGGTGGGTCCTGACGGCGGCTCACTGCGTCAGGAGGAAGCTCTTCGTCCGCCTCGGAGAACACGACCTGGCTCTGAGGGAGGGCGCTGAAGTGGAATATAAGGTCAGTTTTGTGCGAGAGATTATAATGATTGTAATATTGATAATAATAATGATGATGATAGTGATGGTAGTAGTAGTAGTAGTAATAATAATAATAATAATGACAATAACAGTAATAATAATAATAACAATAATAATAATGATAATAATAATAATAATGACAATAACAGTAATAATAATAATGGTAATAATAATAATAATAATGATAATAATAATAATAATAATAATAATAATAATAATAATAATAATAATAATATCAACAACAATAATAATAATATCAACAACAACAATAATAATAATAATAATAATAATAATAATAATAATAATAATATTAATAATAATGATAATAATACAAATACATACAGAGAGAAAGTGATGGAATATAAGGCAGGATGATTGGGTAGAACTTTTGAGTTATTACAAGACTTTGAGTGATAGACAACAGACAAAAAAAGTAAATAGATCAAAACTGGCTGATCGTATTTATAAATATACTGAAGCTATTATGTCTGGTCCTTCTCCCGTTGACAGCATATAAGCGGTTTTGATAACATCATGCCATTAAACCCCCACAACGGTAGACGATTCTTAGCAGAACTCCAACACTCCTTCGCCAACCAGACCTCGTCTTCCCACACAGGTTTCAAGGACCGTCATACACCCGAAGTACGACTCGACGACCGTGGACAACGACGTGGCTCTCCTGCAGCTACCAGAAGCCGTGTCCATGAACTCTCGCATAGCCCCAGCCTGCCTTCCCGAACAAGGGGCCAACTTACCCGTAGGAGACAAGTGCACGATCATTGGCTGGGGGAAGGAGAGGAACACCCATTTCTTCGGAACGGATGTCCTACATGAAGCTGAGGTAGTAGTGGTGGTGAGGGAGAGGAAGAGAGAGATAGGAGGGAGAGGGGGAGAGACGGAGAGGATGGGAGGGGGAGGTTGGGAAGAGAGGGAGAGGATGGGAAGGAGAGGGAGAGGGGAGGAGAGGGAGAGGAAGAGAGATAGGAGGGAGAAGGGGAGAGACGGAGAGGATGGGAGAGGAAGGTTGAGAAGAGAGGGAGAGGATGGGAAGGAGAGGGAGAGGGGAGGAGAGGGAGAGGAAGAGAGAGGTAGGGGGAGAGGGGAGGAGAGGGAGAGGAAGAGAGAGATAGGGGGAGAGGGGGAGGAAGAATGAGATAGGAGGGAGAGGGGAGGAGAGGGAGCGGGAAAGAAAGACAGGAGGGGGAGGGAGAGGAAGAGAGAGATAAGAGATAGAGGGGAGGAGAGGGAGAGGAAGTGAGAGATAGGAGGGAGAGGGAAGGAGAGGGATAGGATGGGACAGGAAGGATGGAAAGGAGAGGGAGAGGATGGGGCAAGGAGGGAGGGAGGGAGGATTGGAGAGGAAGAGGGAGGGAGGTAGAGAAAGAGAGAGATAGGAGGGAGAGGAAGAAGGAGGGAGGAAGAGAAAGTGAGAGATAGGAGGGAGAGGAAGAAGATATGAGAGGGAAGGAAGGAGAGACAGGGAGGGAAAGGAAGATATAGATAAGAGGAACAAGTAAAGAGAGGGAGAGAGATATAGGAGGGAGGGGGAGGGAGGAAATGGGGGAGGATGGGGGAGAAGGAAAGAGAGGTAGAGGGGGGATGGGATGGAAGGAGGGAGAAGAAGGAGATAGGGGGAGGGATAGAAGGAGGAAGGGAAGAAGGGAGAGTGAGGGAGGATGGGAGGGAGAGGGAGGGAGGAAGGGAGGAAAAGGGATGGAGGGAAGGAACGAACGAACGAACTAGAGCGAGAAAACGAGAGAGTGAGAGAGGGAGAGGGAGACAGAGAGGCAGAGAGAGAGAGGGAGAAAGAGAAAGAGAAAAAGAGAGTAAGAGAGAACGAGAGAGGAGATAAAAAGAGAGAAGGGGAGGGAGAAAAAAATATATATAAAAAAGAGTAGAGAGCAATTTAAAAAAATAATCAGGGGAAGGGCAGATAATAACTACTGGAAAACAAATAAATGATATATCCAAAGAAAGAAAGGGAGACACATATGGCACAGACATACAAGCGCAAACAAGGCGATGGCACATTCTTTCACATATATATAAAAATAAAACTTCCAATTTTCATAATGAAGCAAGTATATTCACACGACATGAACAGCACACTATAATGATCTATTTCAAGAGCATTATTATGCATTTACGAATATCTGTTAATCGCATTTCTGAAGGAGGAAGGAAGAGAGAGAGAGAGAGAAACTCATCCAGCAATGGACTCTATCTAGCAGGTACTGGCATAAAAAAATATCTTGCTTCAAATGCCTTCGTTGTGATAAGTCTTCACGTGTTCAAGCTTTTATTCTGTGCTTCTTGTGTTGTCACCCAGGTATTTTGCAGTCGGAAAATAATAATTCAGTAGTTGATTCAGTTAGTCGAATGGCCGATATGGTATTTTTGATAAAGAGAATACACAGTGCATGTTAATAGCAGCTGGCTTCTTAAGTAGATCATTCAGTAAAATAAATGACAAGATATGGTTTTGTTGATAAAGAAAATACACATATTATTAGCAGTTGGCTTTACTCCACTTTGTCAGTTTACCGTAATATTTTTTTTTTTCTCCTTTTTCTCTCCCTCGGTAATTTCTAGGTTCCCATCATCGCCAGCAAAGCATGTGAGACTGTATATGAGGACTACTACATTACTTCCAACATGTTCTGCGCAGGATATCTGAAGGGCAGAGTGGATTCCTGCGCGGGAGACTCAGGAGGTCCTCTGCTGTGCCAGAGACATGGCCGTTGGTAAGAATCGCGCGTTGTAAACAGTAGTGAGAAAACCTGTCTTGTTTCTTAGATTCGTAACCATGCGTAGGATTTATGTTGAGCAAATTGCAAGTAGAGCAACGACGGTAAGAATAAGAAGACACACGAAAATGCCGGAGGCCATTTCGTTTTACTGAAGAAGCAGTAAAGCGAAAAAGGCTTTTAGCACATTCGTGTATTTTGATCTTTCCTTCGTTACCCTGTTTGCAATTCTGAAACATACATGTCATAATTAAACCGTAATAATTTCTTAACAATCTGAACATTATTTTCCCTCTGCAGGTACATATATGGAATAACTTCCTTTGGCGAGGGATGTGGAAAGAAAGGCAAGTTTGGCATCTACGCTCGAGTTTCGAATTACCGCCATTGGATCCAGTCCGTTGTCGCCAGTCCCGACCTCTGAAGTGTACATTAGAAGTTAGGGTTTTTAGTAATTCATTATTCTGCTGAAATCATATACCGTTTACTTCAGTGCATTGCGTATATGAGTATATGTGGTGGATGTATAAACGTAAAGACACGAAAAGGCTTACATCCCAACTAGCCAAGGCGGGAGGGTATGTATTGTACGGTATATGTATTCGTATAATACATCATTGATTTCACAAGAAAAGTATATAATTTTTATACACGTCGAACTTAAATCTTGCAACTAGAACATTCGAAAGATATATGCCTGTTGCAAATACATCCGTAGTACGTATATTTGTGTATACAAAAATATTTAACAGTGATATTGATGTCACTTTATGGTCATAGGGATCCAAAACTGTACTTTGAGGACTATGTGAAAGAAATATTTTCTTAAACAAATATTGTATATAATGTATGAAGCATTAATACGCGGTCACAAGGTAGACCATTGGTCATTTATGCTTGATTAAAGATATATATATTATCATTCCACAGACAACTCTGTTATGTTGTCAGTTACATGTATATAATGCAGTATATATCGTATATGAGAACTGGTTTGTGCTTGTTAAGTTTGGTGTTTATGTTGAGGTTGTTTTCGGAATGGGATAGGGTCAGTGGGTAAAGTGTTCAGCTTTAAACTTCTTCGGTAGTCAATACTTTGTCTAAGGGGAGTTTAGGCAACAGCACTGGTTTGAATTGCCTGTCATTCTCAGGGAGTAGATTCCACTTCATCCTTTAATTTCTTACCTTCCTATCTTTTGATTAATTATTTTAACTTTTTTTCTATGCTATTAATCATGCTTCTGTTTGATCAAAGAATGGTAAGCATATTTTTTAGTACATTGTTTAGAACATGGAAAAGGAAAATGTAATTCATTAGTTTTTTGCATTATGTGTGATCTAATGATAACAAAAGACACTTCTGGCTTGCTTTGCATGTTTTCTAAAAGACAGATATTGTTACCTTATGTTTTCTTGATTTGGTTTGGATCACTGCTTGCTGCCACAGTAAGCTTGTTATGAAGTGTAGCTTATATATAACACATTGTAGATATAGCATTATTATGCCCTTAAAACAGTTATATTTTTGCATTATTTTGTGTATAATGTATTTATGTTTGTTAATAGAGGTTTTGTTCCTAATGTACTCCCAATGCAGTAGCTTTCTTGTCCCTTGAACATTTTAATAAATGACACACATTTCCCTACAGTCAGTTTTTTTAATATACCACTAGTTTCAGGTACTTGAAATGCAATTGACTGTCATACCCTATATCAACTTTATCAATTAAAATTAAAGGTCTTTATGTTATATAAATGACCTGCATAAAAGAACTACCGTAATTTAGATTATAAAGCAGCCTAGAACTCGGTTGTTAAGGATGAGACTTCTAACACAATCACTAATATATTTCCACCTAACCATTATCTTCTACATTGTCACCAATGACAGAAAAAAGGCCCTGCTTACTCATAAAGAGTTGTTTCTGTTTTTTTTAATTACAAGTTATGTATACTTAAATGATCATCTCTAATATTATAATATTGATTCCATGAATCATTCTACATCCAAGTTCATTTGTTACTGTTACTCCATGTCTGTTTACAGTAACAATAGCATAATGATTGTCCAACTGGAGTAATCCCTAACCTAAAAAATTCTGATAGATGTCAGAAAGTAACTGAAGACATAACAGATATTATTAATTCTGTCCCTGTGTTCAATTTGTACTCGCACTGTTTAACCAATGTGTGTCATGTTATGAGATGAAAGGAAGCATGATTGCAAATTGATAAAAAAAAGTTTGTTTATTACATGACTGGAGTGATAAATATCATTAAAGATGCTGTCAGTGATTTAAGATGCTGGTCGTTATGGAATAAAGGAAAATATATACATATCAAAGTTAGTCTTATTGGTGTAACTCCGTACATAAAAAAAGTAAGTAAAAAACAACAAAAAAACTGAAAACTTTCAGCCAAAATGCATTTTTGTTTACATTTACATATGCAAAGGCAGTATAATACATGCACACTATATGACAGTTACAAAGGTCTATAAATGAAGATCAAGTGGTTCAAAAAAAACAAAAAAACAAATGAGGTATCCACAACAGTGTCTGACAGCTGACAGTTATTCAGAAGTCACAGAACACCTAGACTTCGTTTTTGTTTCTGCATTACACAATGAAGGGCATCCCTGGCTTGTGCCAGTTATGTGGGGCAAATGGTCGTAAATATGTAAATATCAATATTGTAACTGATTTTTGTACAAAATGGACATGTATGTATTCTCTTCGAGGTAATTGGTATACATAGGTGTTCACTGAATTATTGATTTTATTAATGGTTAATTGACTGCCAGGCAGTATAACACAAGTGATAGTAATCAGCTTGTGTTATAAGGATTATTTGAACTTGTGACTTTAATGGATAATTGATTTCCTAACTGTGATTGAGAAATTTGCTGAAATAAGCAACATATCTACTTATTTTTAAGACGTTTTGTTTCCCAATCTCGGAACATTACAAGCCGAGGGTTGTTGCTGGCTAGGTTTAGAACATAAAATAATGTTATACTGATTTTTCTATTTCCAAATGTTTACTTTGCTTATTAGAATATATCCCAAGAATGAATTATATTTATTTGGTATCAGTATTTGTACTTTTTCATAATAAAGTAATTGTAACCTTTTTATTATGTTTCTGTAATAACCTAAACTATACACGGAATTGCGGATACACATTTTACCTCTAAAAACATGCCAACACATCTTTTGTCTCTTTTATTGCCGTCTTATTATTAAGATAGGTAATATTAGTAAATTCAAGTCCAGCTGTTTTCTCTCATTTTCATTCAATGTAATTCTTACCTGAATTGCTGTCATAAGCTGCTTTCCCGCATTTTCTAGTTACTCATTTAACCTTCCCTCCATTCCCCGTATCATTAAAGACCTCATTGTTAATCAAGAATATATATATATATGGTCTTGATGGACACTTTGAAGATTTTCATGGTTGATGTCAACTGGCAGAAGTTTTGGTATCACAGTATGTAAGCAGAACAAAATACTCTTATTTAACCGTTGTTGTTCCTCATAATGCAAAATTATTTGATTGATCCATCTTTCTCCACAAAGGGATGTTTGTAACTGAAAAGTGACCATAGTATTTTATATTTTATTATTTTTTCTTTTTCTCTTTTTTTTTTTTTTTTTTGGAAAAATATGTTGCCCTAATACCAGTCTACATTGTACTTCTTAAATGTGCAGTAACCATACAAATAAAACAACACCACTGGCAGCAGAAAAAAAAGGAACATTGTCTAATTCTAAAAATCAATATAATTTTTTTTTTTCACACCAAGACTTCTATAATGCTACTGTATCTAAAAAAAAACAGAAGAATTAAATAATTTTACATAAACAAGACCACCAAAGAAGAATGCAAGACAAAAAAATGTGAGAAAGTGAAAGAAAAAAAAATTGTAAAAAAAACATTACATTTCTACATACAGTTTACATGCTGTAATTGTCACCACTTTCTCAAAAACTTCCTTAAACACTTGCCTAGTCTTTCAATTTCACAGTTATACAAGTGCATCTTGTGATAATCACTTTTCCAAAGCTGATATGCAACAAAAACAGCATTACCTTATTGATTATATTCATTATTAACATTATAAATAATATTTTTGTTCACAAACAACCCTAACCTCATGATGACAAAGTAATTTCCTTCAAGCATGGTTTAATAAGTAAAAGGGATAACAGTTGTAAATAAAACAGATTTTAAGGAAACACTATTGCCATGCAAAAAACATTGAGCATCTATTTCTTGCAGAAAAAAATGTTGTATATAATATCAATGGCTGGAAAATACCCATACATATACACACATTTATGGGTGGGGATTGCAGTGTGTGTGTGCAGATAGAGGTATGTATATCAGATTTTTCTCTTACTTTATTTCTACTTTTTCTGCCTTCCTTTTCAAGGAATATATCCAAATTTCTGTATCTGATAATACAAATAATATAGATTTACAACAGAAATATAATGGAGAATCAGTGTGTTAAAGAAAATATTATAAGGATTAGTCCAGAATACCATACATATCTAGTGTACATGCAAGCTCATGCATGTATTTTTTCAGTTTGCTGGAATTAGCCATCAAAAACAAATCATGATTTATGAGAATATTTCTTTATTTCTGACAAGCTTCATTCACTATATGACAAAGAAATATCATGTTTTATCTACTGAAAGACTCCTAGATAATATACAATAATTACAATATGAACAGGCATATGATAATCAAATATGTCAATTTCTGTACTTTGTATCCAGTGAAACTGACTTGCACATCATGAAAACCCATGTAATACTTCAAAAATCTGTCTGTGCACAACGGAAGATCTGAGACAAATGTTTCATTAATATACAAGTTTCCATTTACCACATTCTTTACATAAAAATCATTGGGATGGTCCATTACCACTAAACATCCCCAAAATCGATGCATTCATAACATCTTATCCAAGTATACACATAAAAACTGTTTCCTAATTAACTGTTTCACCCATAATGTGATTTCTTGAAACAGATCTGGAGGTCACCCTTATGCTGTTCCGCTTTGTTCCTTTTGCCATTTGTTGTCACTTGGCAAGGACATGAATGAAAAAACTCAACACCTCCATTATCAAAAACACAAGTTTTTTCCTCTTCAAAAAACAGGCTTAACAAACATTACGAATCAAAAGCCACCCATACGAGCCAAGGCTTCCATAGAGCAGTAAATATGTGTACATCTGCCTTCCAACTTTAGTACAGATGAATGGCACTGAGATAACACTAAAGAACAGGAAGGAGGAGAGAGTCGACCAAAGACTTAGTGAAGACTTATGGCCATGCAACAGCTTTTCAACATTATTTCGCTTCTCACTATCCTGCGTGAAGAAGTTCTCAGCCAATCTGTTGGAAGTTCAATTGTCAGTTATGTATGCTGATAAATATGATCAAAATTCAACTTTAAAATGATAGGTCCACATTACAAAGAGTGGGGAGGGGAAGGGGAAGGGGGAGGGGAAGGTGGAAAGGGGAGGGGGAGGGGGAGGGGGAGGGGGAGGGGGAGGGGAAGGGGGAGGGGGGGGGGGAGATTACAAGCATGCATGAGTGAATAAGTGACTGAGAGAGTGCATGAGTGAATTAATAAGTGAGTGAGTGGGTAAATTATTGAGTGAATTGATGATGATGTTGATAACATTAAAGATAATAATGATAATAATAATATTATTATTTGAAAATAGTAGTAATATCACCACCAACAACAATGACAATAACAATGACTGAAACATCTCCGGGAAAACTTACTCATCTTTCTCCTTATAAAGCTGATGTAGCCATTTTCCGACTTCCTCTTCCTCCTTCGGCACCTCAGACATTGGGATGCGCCTGATGTGTACGTGAACCTTGCTGCACTTTCCCGATAGGAACTCTAGTCAGGCAAAGACACAAAGAAGCAAGCAATAAATAAAAACCACATCTATAATTCTCCGACTTATGGCTAAACAGATCTAAAGCCTGGATCGACTTCTCATATCTTCTTTTGTCTTGCTTTTTCTTTCTCCTTTATACTGTGATTCTCCTGCTCTAATGGCCACCCCAAAATAAACAAAGCCTCTCAAGATATTTACAACGAGTTTTCTTAATAAGCATAACTGTACAATGAATCTTACCTACGAGCTGTGGAGCATTTCCTCTGATGCCTTGCTCATCCACAGTCCCATCATAGAACACAGAGACATCGTATATGGCATCAATCTTATCGTGTAACTGTTGGCTGACTAACCACATTCCTCGGGTTTTTGGGACCAAGTGATGCTTCAGCACCTGATAAAATTCAATTTCTTTTATTTCACTAATCAGTCATAACATTTCTGTAAAAAATAATTTAATAAAAAGAGAAAGAGAGAGAGAGAGAGAGAGAGAGAGAGAGAGAGAGAGAGAGAGAGTGAGTGAGTGAGTGAGTGAGTGAGTGAGTGAGTGAGTGAGTGAGAGTGAGTGAGTGAGTGAGTGAGTGAGTGAGTGAGAGTGAGTGAGTGAGTGAGTGAGTGAGTGAGTGAGTGAGAGTGAGTGAGTGAGTGAGTGAGTGAGTGAGTGAGTGAGTGAGTGAGTGAGTGAGTGAGTGAGTGAGTGAGTGAGAGGGAGGGAAGGAGGGAGGGAGGGAGGAAGGGAGGGAGGGAGGAAGGGAGGGAGGGAGGAAGAAAGGGAGGGAGGAAGAAAGGGAGGGAGGGAGGGAGGGAGGGAGGGAGAGTGGGAGGGAGGGAGGGAGAGAGGGAGAGAGAGAGAGAGGGAGGGAGAGAGAGAGGGAGGGAGAGAGAGAGGGAGAGAGGGAGAGAGGGAGGGAGGGAGGGAGGGAGGGGGAGAGAGGGAGAGGGGGAGGGGGAGGGGGAGAGGGAGAGGGAGAGGGAGAGGGAGAGGGAGAGGGAGAGGGAGAGGGAGAGGGAGAGGGAGAGGGAGAGGGAGAGGGAGAGAGAGAGAGAGAGAGAGAGAGAGAGAGAGAGAGAGAGAGAGAGAGAGAGAGAGAGAGAGAGAGAAAAACATGTATATATGTATATACGAATGTGTATGTGTGAAACAATATGAATAAGAATAACAATAAGAACAACAACAATAACAATCACAATAGCAATAATAATAATAATAATAATAATAATAATAATAATAATAATAATAATAATAATAATAATAATATTGATAATTATAATAATATTAACAATAACAATAATAATAACTTTTATCATTATCTTCATCATTATTTTTATCACTATATTAATAATAATTATTACTCTCATCATTATTACTGTATCAATAATGATAATAATCAATAATAACAATAAGAAGAACAACATCAATAACAATAACAGTAAATATGAATAAATGAATAAATAGAGGAAAACCTCAGAGATCTTACAAACTGTATATACATCTTCAACCCTTTCGCATACTGAAAATTGCTAACTTTCACTCATTTGCTATCAGTCATCACCATTACCTTATGGGCACTGAACAACATCATAATAATTTCACTTCTACCATAACTGGTATGACTAGCTATCTGATTTTGTTCCAAGAAAATTTTAACCATCATGCTTTTCTTTCAAACAGTTCATTATTTCTTCACAAAAATAGTCTGAAAACAATATTTGTAAAAAAAAAGAAAAAAAAAGAAGAAGAGACCAATACCATAAAATTCAACAGATTTCTTTATTGCATGGTTTTATCTTTGTTTAGTGAAATAGAGGTTTCATAACTGCTTTCACCCTTTGTTTCGATCTACAGATATTTGTTAGTAAAGCAGACCAGGTGGTACAGGAATATAACCATGAAAATACAAGCCAGGCAATAAGGAAAAGACATAGCACTTCTACATATCTCCAAAGACTACTCCAAAAATACAGAATAAAAAAAAAAATAATAATAATAATAATAATAAATAAGCAAATAAAATACTACCCAGGGTCTTTTTATCAAATTCTAAAATTCTAAAACACCTTCATGAATATGCCCACAGAATTATCTGTATCTTGCCTAAAGTCTGATTTTATTATCCAACAGTAATAAAGACTCAGTATGATTTTCCAAGGAATAATTTAGTTTCTTTTTCTCATACAGGACACCACCAAATTAATTTTCTACCCCTTAAATTTCTCTAAAACAAATACACATGAAGTTTGGAAAATAAAGACTATGATAATACCACACCAGAAGTAAACTG